GCCACCAATTGTGCAAGTTCTCCCACTTAAAAAGATGAGAGAGGCCTGTAATTTTCATCATAGGTACACGTCAACTATGACAGACAAAATGAGGAAAATAAATCCAGAAAATCACATTGTAGGATTTTTTATGAATTAATTTGCAAATTATGGTGGAAAATAAGTATTTGGTTAATAACAAAAGTTTCTCAATACTTTGTTATATACCCTTTGTTGGCAATGACACAGGTCAAACGTTTTCTGTAAGTCTTCACAAGGTTTTCACACACTGTTGCTGGTATTTTGGCCCATTCCTCCATGCAGATCTCCTCTAGAGCAGTGATGTTTTGGGGCTGTCGTTGGGCAACACGGACTTTCAACTCCCTCCAAAGATTTTCTATGGGGTTGAGATCTGGAGACTGGCTAGGCCACTCCAGGACCTTGAAATGCTTCTTACGAAGCCACTCCTTCGTTGCCCGGGCGGTGTGTTTGGGATCATTGTCATGCTGAAAGACCCAGCCACGTTTCATCTTCAATGCCCTTGCTGATGGAAGGAGGTTTTCACTCAAAATCTCACGATACATGGCCCCATTCATTCTTTCCTTTACACGGATCAGTCGTCCTGGTCCCTTTGCAGAAAAACAGCCCCAAAGCATGATGTTTCCACCCCCATGCTTCACAGTAGGTATGGTGTTCTTTGGATGCAACTCAGCATTCTTTGTCCTCCAAACACGACGAGTTGAGTTTTTACCAAAAAGTTTCAATTTTGGTTTCATCTGACCATATGACATTCTCCCAATCCTCTTCTGGATCATCCAAATGCACTCTAGCAAACTTCAGACGGGCCTGGACATGTACTGGCTTAAGCAGGGGGACACGTCTGGCACTGCAGGATTTGAGTCCCTGGCGGCGTAGTGTGTTACTGATGGTAGGCTTTGTTACTTTGGTCCCAGCTCTCTGCAGGTCATTCACTAGGTCCCCCCGTGTGGTTCTGGGATTTTTGCTCACCGTTCTTGTGATCATTTTGACCCCACGGGGTGAGATCTTGCGTGGAGCCCCAGATCGAGGGAGATTATCAGTGGTCTTGTATGTCTTCCATTTCCTAATAATTGCTCCCACAGTTGATTTCTTCAAACCAAGCTGCTTACCTATTGCAGATTCAGTCTTCCCAGCCTGGTGCAGGTCTACAATTTTGTTTCTGGTGTCCTTTGACAGCTCTTTGGTCTTGGCCATAGTGGAGTTTGGAGTGTGACTGTTTGAGGTTGTGGACAGGTGTCGTTTATACTGATAACAAGTTCAAACAGGTGCCATTAATACAGGTAACGAGTGGAGGACAGAGGAGCCTCTTAAAGAAGAAGTTACAGGTCTGTGAGAGCCAGAAATCTTGCTTGTTTGTAGGTGACCAAATACTTATTTTCCACCATAATTTGCAAATAAATTCATTAAAAATCCTACAATGTGATTTTCTGGATTTTTTTCCCACAATTTGTCTGTCATAGTTGACGTGTACCTATGATGAAAATTACAGGCCTCTCTCATCTTTTTAAGTGGGAGAACTTGCACAATTGGTGGCTGACTAAATACTTTTTTTCCCCATTGTAGCTCCTAGCCTGTTTTAAAACCTTTTTTAAGATTTCATTCTGTTGAGCCATTTTCGTTGGCCAAATTAAGTTCCAGCTGTAATGTTGTTTGCCACAATATAATATAATTACCGATAGGCGTACTATGATACTCACACTCAAACCATTACATTTTTAAATGTTAGCCATTTATCAGACGCTCTTATCCAGAGCGACTTACAGTTAGTGCATTCATCTTAAGATAGCTAGGTGGGACAACCACATATCACAGGCATAGTAAGTACACTATGACTGTAAGTCGCTTTGGATAAAAGCGTCTGCTAAATGGCATATTATTATTATTATTATTACACTTTTCCTCAATAAAGTAGTTGGTTTAGGATTCACAAGTGGGGAGCCCAGCCAACAGCGAGTTGCAGTAGTCCAGATGGGAGATGACAAGCGCCTGGATTAAGACCTGCGCCGCATCCTGTGTTAGGTAGGGTCATACTCTACGGATGATGTAGAGCATGAACCTGCAGGAGCGAGTCAATGCTTTGATGTTTGTCGAGAACGACAGGGTGTTGTCCAGGATCACGCAAAGGTTCTTTGCACTCTGAGAGAGATAACCAAAGAGTTGGTCAGAGACCGCATGCTCAAGTGTTTTGGAATAAAAGAAAGAAGGGATACCGGTCTGTAGTGTTTGACATCAGAGGGGTCGGGTGTTGGTTTCTTGAGGAGGGGAGCGACTCGGGCCATTTTGAAGACAGGGGGACGCAGCCAGTGGTCAGGGATGAGTTGATGAGGGAAGTGAGGAATGGGAGACGGTCTGGAGAAGGGAGGAGGGGATGGGCTTGATCGGGCAGGTTGTAGGGCGGCTAGACCTCACTAGTCGCAGGATTTCATCTGGAGAGAGAGGGGAGGAAGAGGTCAAGGCGTAGGGTAGTTCTGTGTGAGTGGGACCAGTGGACTCAATAGGCTGAGTGAATGTCGTCAGAGGAGCGGATGTCGTCAACCTTCTTTTCAAAGTGGTTGACAAAGTCGTCTGCAGAGAGGGAGGGGGTGGAGGATTAAAGGCGTCAGCATGCTTCAGTTCGGCTGTGGCTAGGTGAACCGAATGAGTGTCCTCGCATACTCCCTTAAAATACCTTCCTTTGAAAAACAAGAAAAAATGCGGCAATAGTACTGTTTGTCCATTTTGAGACGCTGTAGTCAGTATACACTTCCTCAAAATATAATTAATCTAAGATAACTCAAGAAATCTGTCATTACTTTTGAAGTTTTTGCAGAGGAGATCTTAGTCGCTGAATTTTACATCTAACTAAGATGTTTTTTCTCAATGAAAAAAATTGCATGAAAACAAGTCATCTCTCATTGAATGACGACAAAGACTTTACTGACTCCGAGAGTTGAACTTGAGGTGAGGAAGAATGTTTTAGGCCTACCAGAGTTACTCCTTTAATCTAACAATATAATGCTTATCTTTCTAAAATATATTCTGATCTAAAATTAACGAATTAGCCTTCTTCTGTACGCCTATATCTGTATAGCAGTAGTAGCCTATCTGACAAGTTTAAAGAAATCCATGTCGATGTCGGGAACATGGCGTATCTCCATCTTTCTCTCGGTCTCTCTAAGCCTAAGCTTGTCTCCTTTAATATGTATTTTTTAAATATGAATATCACACAGTGGAAGCCTAGGTCTGTGCCTATATGCATGCAATGCCCTGATGCATTTAGCCCTCAAATCTCCGACAGCTGAACCGTGTTGTAGACAATTATTGTTTTAGGAAAGTAAAAACCAATAAAACAATAGACTATAAAGTGTTGAATATGCTACACATCGAAACACAACAAATCGTTTTTTTGTAATTTGTTATTGGCAGTTTTTAAGGACAAGTAACTGTGGATAATATCGCATGGCCAATATCGCATGTTTGTTGATGGCGCTGGCAGCACCCAGTTGGAGGTTTCTTTCTCTCGCTCTCTCTCTCTTTCTACACCCACGGATCTGAACGGGTCTCTTGGATCCGAACCAGCACGGGTCAGTTTGGGTCTGTTTTCCACGGTCCTTTTCGGAACGGGTCTGACTGTCCTCGGGTCCATTTGGAACGGGTCTCCGTTTTTTAGAAAATGTATTTATGCATATCGGGTCGGGTAGGAAAGCCACGGTTTCATTTCAGAACGAGTCCAACTTTTTGGACCCGTGAAGACCTCTAGACCACACCTTAAGTCACAGGGGGGTCAGTGCACCTCACCCATTCCCTCTATCAATGCTCTTCTCCTTTACTCTGTCACACTTTCTCAGTCTGTCAACTTTCTCAGTCTGAATTTGTCCCTCTCTAGTTCTACCTGTTCTACCATCCCTTTGGATTGGTGTGTGATGTGTTGTAATGAGAGAGAGAGTTTGTTGTGTGCATGCATTGTGTGTGTGTAAGTGGTCTGTGCTCCGAGTGGCTGGGTTTGGAGCAGTGCAGTGTGTTTGTGTTAGTGGTTTGGTGGGGTGCTGCTTCGGATGTGGTGTGTGTTACTGGGATGTTTTAGAGCTGAGAGGGCAAGTGTTCAGTACTTGTGGGTGCCTTGACTATGTGGTTAAAGTCTGTTTGTGTGTGTGTGTATGTCTTTATCGTGTGTGTGTGTGTGTGTGTGTGTGTGTGTGTGTGTGTGTGTGTGTGTGTGTGTGTGTGTGTGTGTGTGTGTAAAACCATCCGACTTCCCACTTCACTCAACCAGCTAGCTGCCACTGCTGGGAACTGGTCTCACTAAATGTGTGTTCACTGGTGTGTGTGTTTTGCTAATATATGCATGGATGGATCCATTTTATGATGTCAGTAAATTACTGAGTCAGTTACTGGAAAGCTAAGGGAATACTAAAGGGAAATAAGGAATGAGTGAGAAATGTTTCAACAATCCAAACTTTTAATTGACAGGAGGGAAGGAATTAAGGAAGGAAGTATAGATCGATATCTCTGGAAGGATGCATTTCTAAAGGCTTGAAACAGACCTTGGATCAGCGTTCTTTTCTTCATGCTACTCAGTGTTCCCCCTGCCAGGAAGTGACAACATCATCATGCTGACTTATTTCCTGTTATCTGTGGGGCTGAGAGCTGTCCTCTGTGATCTATCTCACTGTAAAATCTTATACAACCCATTACTGTCCCTCACTGGGCCTCTCAGCTGACACTGGAATAATCACAACCACCGACTCACTGCTCCCTTCCTCTATCTCTGCATCCTTCTCTCTCCTTTCTCTCTACCTCTGTCACTCTCTTATCTACCCCTCTCATCATCTCTCTCTTTCTATCTCTCTCTCGCTCTCTCTGTTCTAACCCCCTCTCTGCAACAGCAGGGATTCAATTGACATAGCAGTCATTTTATGAAGATGGCCATACATCTAAATGTACATTTTCTAAACAGTCATGAATGGATCATAATCAATATCTCATTCTCCTCGCTCCCTCAGTCGTCTCCAGTGTGTCTAGCAGCCATACATGCAGGTGTGGTGTCTAACTCTGTGGGCGGTCAGATCAGTGTGGTCAACAGTAAGGGCATCCCTCACTATGATGGCTCGCTGGCTAACAACGTCTCCTCCACTGTGTAAGTACACCTGTCTGTCTGGGAGAATACATCTGCTTTCTCTTCCCTTTCCATCTCTCTCCATCATTATGTCTATCTCTCTCTCCCGCTCTCTCCAGTGGTCCCTTGTCCAACAGCCTCTTCACTTTCAAGACCAGTGGTGAGTTCAATAAGCTACAATACAAAAACAGACCATGATACCACCACAGCCACACATGCTTCTGTAAACTTTTCAACTACACCTGCCACCACAATCACTTCTACAATCTCCTAAAACAGCCATGTGTCCTCCCACTTCAATACAGACTCACAGTTTCTCTCTCTCTCAGGTTGCTATGGGACACTAGGTCTAGAGTCGGGCGTTGTTAGGGACTCCCAGCTCTTTGCTTCCTCGGTGTGGGAATGGAGTGACGTGATTGGCCAACCCAGCGAGTGGAGCCCGTCTGGGGCCCGCCTAAATGGGGCGAGGCTTCCCTGGGCGTCGGCTCACAGCAACCAGCAGCAGTGGATACAGGTGGACCTGAAGAAGGAGCAGAGGATCACAGGCATCACCACTACAGGCTCCTCCCTCCTCGAGTACCAGTTCTACGTGTCAGCCTATCGGGTCCTCTACAGCAATGACGGACAGCACTGGAACGTCTATCGGGAGGCAGATGCTACTCAGGACAAGGTGATGCCTCTCATCAATAACCTTAAAGGTCCTGAACAGTCATTCTGAAAACTACTTTTTCTCTCATGGCTAACTACCAGGAAGTTTGAAAAGACAGGCAGAGTGGGCGGGGAGCTTATATTCATGAGCTTACCTTGACTGACAGATCTTTGCAACGCCTATGTCAAGCAACTTGGATGCAGTGAGCAGTGTTGCAGTAAAATCATCTCAAGCTAATTTGGTGATACACAAAGCAACTGGAACAACATTGAAATTGCATCAATGATATAATTTTTATTTTATACATGTCCCATTTGGCATGTCTCTTGTGATGCGGTTCACAGCAGCACTGACGGATGTGTTGACTTGACAAATGCGTGGGAGTTTTGAAAGACCCTTACCCCCCTTTGGTTCCATGCTGGCTGAAGCCCTAGCTAGCCAGTAACTAGCTAACACCAGACACAGATGAAAGGGGAAACATATAAGTATCTTGCCATAGATGAATAGGGTAAGCTTTTAATTATATTTGCTGACACCCTACAGTTACATTTAGGCACCAGTAGAGTATCTTTCTAGCTATATAAATCACGCCCCTTTGCAAACGCCTTCTCCGACGTGATTACAACGCTGTACTTATTTAAATTAGGTTAGAGAATATCATGTTAACATTGGTGGATTAAAATTAGAGTTAAGGTGATGTCCCCTTAATAATGAATCCAAGTGTTTGACATGGGGGAGGGGACCAGTAACTTTATGATTAAACTTTATCAATGTAGAAGCAAGTCATTTTTCATACTTAGGTCATCATACATTGATCTGGTTTCCTTCAAATATCAAATTTCATGAAAAACGATTGAAATTGATTTGACTGTTCATTACCTTTTTAAGGAGAGAGAAAGCCTCTTTAGACTAGAGGAGGGGAGTGCAAGGTGGAGTCATTTGTTTCTATGGCAACAGTGATTGATTGTGGTTGTTTATGGCAGGAAACATGAGAGCTGACTGTGGTTGTTAAGTGCTGTGGTCAGTCAGACTCAGTCAGATGGATGGAGATTGATTGAGTCCTTGTGTTAGTCAGGCTCTGTAATCAGGGCTTTTTACCCTTACTTATACTAGTGATGCCATTGAGATTGAACATCTATTTTACAAGAGAGACCTGTCCCAAGAAGGCAGCAATCAAACATTTGTTATACACCATACATACAATTAACAATACAGTAGGCCTGTTGGCAGTAGGCACAGGCAAGATAACATGAGAAATAATTTGGAAACATAGCTTCAGTGTATTATTATTATTTTATTAAGATCCCCATTAGCTATTGCTACAGAAGACTGTCTCTGTTTGTGTTTCCTGATAGATTTTTCAAGGGAACACCAATTATCACCAGGAGGTGCGCAATAACTTCATCCCACCAATCGAGGCGCGGTATGTGAGGATAAGCCCCACCCAGTGGCACCAGCGAATTGCCCTCAAGTTTGAGCTGCTCGGATGCCAGTTCCATCAAGGTAACCAAACCAGCCAATCAGATGCAGATGTTTTGACTTTGTAGCCAATCAGTGAATTTCAATTATTTTATCATTGTGTGTCACTAACCACGTTTCCATACAGTTTTTATGCGAGTAAAGTCATACCTTATGAAAAAAATTCACGACAGCTGTGATAGGAGCCGGAAGTTTCGGTACAATTTTATAAATGCCGACAGTTAATTTGTTCGTTCGACATGGTGGGATCTTTTTGTGTCTGTAAAATGAATTATGTGAGAAATGGTGGTGGAAATGCCTTTATGCACAAATATTGATATAATAACCATCATATCGAAATAAACTTGGAGTCACGCATTGATATGGTGTGTGGTCCGCCCACTACGACTCACTTATGAACTTCACAGGGTGGTGAAAGTGCATGCTGATCTTGACGCTCCTTTCCAATAAATATCGAGTGTCTTATTCTGGTGACATGATGATCGATGCTTGACTAGGGCTGTAGCAGTGACCTTATTACCGCCACACTGGCGGTCACGAGTCATGAAGGCAGTCAAATTCCACATGACCGTTTAGTCACGGTAATTAGGCTTCTCCAAGCTCTGATGCTGCTGCTGGTCATTAGTAGCCTACCAAACGTGCTAACTGCCTGGCACTCAGCACTCTATTGTCCCTCTAATCACTCTGACATCAATGCAAATGTTTTCGAAAATCTAATCAAACACTTCCTGAGCTCATGTTGCGCAACATTTCTATAAGCTATGCAATTGCGTGAGAAAACAGAGTGATGGCCTCTATTAAAAAGAGGAGGATCCCATCAGCTTTCTATAGGCTAGGCCTACTATATTTACTTCTCAACTTTCCTAATATTAAGCACACTGCTTCTCTTTACAACAGGAGTATAGCCTACCTGGCTGGCATGAAAATAAACCACGGGGAAAAGTGTCCTCCATTCGCTATTTTAAGTGCATAGATGACATGTATTTTTACCCGCTGCCCCTGTTTCGATATAGGTGCATGATAATGGTCCATTCTAAATCAAAACAAATGTCACACATATATTATTTAGTACATGTAAAGACAAGATTATATCAAGAATAGTCTGATGGGGGACAATTTTAGCCTATCACTTATTATATATTATCACTTGTGAATGATGCCCAGCATAAGAAACAATGCGACTTTTTCGAATCATAGTGGCACACCTCATGTAGCCTAGCCCATAGGCCTACAGTGGGTAAAAAAAGTATTTAGTCAGCCACCAATTGTGCAAGTTCTCCCACTTAAAAAGATGAGAGAGGCCTGTAATTTTCATCATAGGTACACGTCAACTAAAAAAATCCAGAAAATCACATTGTAGGATTTTTTATGAATTTATTTGCAAATTATGCTGGAAAATAAGTATTTGGTCAGCTACAAACAAGCAAGATTTCTGGCTCTCACAGACCTGTAACTTCTTCTTTAAGAGGCTCCTCTGTCCTCCACTCGTTACCTGTATTAATGGCACCTGTTTGAACTTGTTATCAGTATAAACGACACCTGTCCACAACCTCAAACAGTCACACTCCAAACTCCACTATGGCCAAGACCAAAGAGCTGTCAAAGGACACCAGAAACAAAATTGTAGACCTGCACCAGGCTGGGAAGACTGAATCTGCAATAGGTAAGCAGCTTGGTTTGAAGAAATCAACTGTGGGAGCAATTATTAGGAAATGGAAGACATACAAGACCACTGGTAATCTCCCTCGATCTGGGGCTCCACGCAAGATCTCACCCCGTGGGGTCAAAATGATCACAAGAACGGTGAGCAAAAATCCCAGAACCACACGGGGGGACCTAGTGAATGACCTGCAGAGAGCTGGGACCAAAGTAACAAAGCCTACCATCAGTAACACACTACGCCGCGCCAGGGACTCAAATCCTGCAGTGCCAGACGTGTCCCCCTGCTTAAGCCAGTACATGTCCAGGCCCGTCTGAAGTTTGCTAGAGTGCATTTGGATGATCCAGAAGAGGATTGGGAGAATGTCATATGGTCAGATTTAACCAAAATTGAAACTTTTTGGTAAAAACTCAACTCGTCGTGTTTGGAGGACAAAGAATGCTGAGTTGCATCCAAAGAACACCATACCTACTGTGAAGCATGGGGGTGGAAACATCATGCTTTGGGGCTGTTTTTCTGCAAAGGGACCAGGACGACTGATCCGTGTAAAGGAAAGAATGAATGGGGCCATGTATCGTGAGATTTTGAGTGAAAACCTCCTTCCATCAGCAAGGGCATTGAAGATGAAACGTGGCTGGGTCTTTCAGCATGACAATGATCCCAAACACACCGCCCGGGCAACGAAGGAGTGGCTTCGTAAGAAGCATTTCATGGTCCTGTAGTGGCCTAGCCAGTCTCCAGATCTCAACCCCATAGAAAATCTTTGGAGGGAGTTGAAAGTCTGTGTTGCCCAGCGACAGCCCCAAAACATCACTGCTCTAGAGGAGATCTGCATGGAGGAATGGGCCAAAATACCAGCAACAGTGTGTGAAAACCTTGTGAAGACTTACAGAAAACGTTTGACCTGTGTCATTGCCAACAAAGGGTATATAACAAAGTATTGAGAAACTTTTGTTATTGACCAAATACTTATTTTCCACCATAATTTGCAAATAAAGTCATTAAAAATCCTACAATGTGATTTTCTGGATTTTTTTTTCTCATTTTGTCTGTCATAGTTGACGTGTACCTATGATGAAAATTACAGGCCTCTCTCATCTTTTTAAGTGGGAGAACTTGCACAATTGGTGGCTGACTAAATACTTTTTTCCCCCACTGTACACCAGCTCTGTCAGGAGGAATGGGCCAAAATTCACCCAACTTATTGTGGGAAGCTTGTGGAAGGCTACCTGAAACATTTGACCCAAGTTAAACAATTTAAAGGCAATGCTACCAAATACTAATTGAGTGTATGTAAACTTCAGACCCACTGGGAATGTGATGAAAGAAATAAAAGCTGAAATAAATCATTCTCTCTACTATTATTCTGACATTTCACATTCTTAAAATAAAGTGGTGATCCTAACTGACCTAAGACAGGGAATTTTTACTAGGATTAAATGTCAGGAATTGTGAAAAACTGAGTTTAAATGTATTTGGCTAAGGTGTATGTAAACTTCTGACATCAACTGTAGGAGTACCTATTTCTTTGTTAACCGCTCAACACAGAATAGCAACATGTGCACACTCCCTCAAATCGTTTGGAGAAGATATTTATATTTTATTCTTTGTTCAATTGTATACTTCATACTATACAATAATATAAAATAATGTCACGGAATTACAAGTATAAAAAAAAAAAAAAAAAAAATACATGCTCTGGATAAGAGCGTCTGCTAAATGACTAAAATGTAAAATGTAAAAATAAGCAAATCTTGTCTGCTAAATGAACAAGTGTAGCCCACAGCCATTTGGCATAGCCACATCAGGACCTAACATAAGGACAACTCAGAGTATGCTATTCTGTTCTTCTGAAATAGACTACATTTTCTTCATATCATGCTTCTTTAGACCTGTCTAAAATAAATAATGGATTTATTGTGAAGGTGTAGGCTATATTAAATGGATTTATTATACTTTTTAAAATGGCTTGTAGGCTGTGTGTGGAAGCCAGGGGATGCTGAATGTGTTTATGTTAATTAATGGTCAATTACCGTGAGACCGACAGTTATTTGGTTGACAATCACCGGCTGACGAAATGTTGTGACCGCCACAGCCCTCTGCTTGACTGCTGTTTGACAAATACGAATATTCTGGCTCTTATCCATAATAATCTCATCATGTAGACTAGCCTACCCTCACAGCCTACCCACACTGTATCTACGAGCTGTTGGCTAGAGTGCATGTACCAAGACCAGAGTAGGCACATGTAGCTATTTAACGCAACAGCTTTTGTGAAAAACTATTGCTAGAGTTGAAAATGCGATGGAAACACATTGAACTTTACATTTTTATTCGGTACATGAAAACTTAAGTGTGTGCACTACATCATCACACACTGATCTTTATCTGCAACAAGTCAGTTTGGAGGAAACACACCACTGGTGGGAAAAGGCTGCCTATTGAAATCACTGGCCACTTTAAGGAATGGAACACTAGTCACTTTAATAATGTTTACATATCTTGCGCTACTCATCTCATATGTATATACTGCATTCTATTCTATAATATTCTACTGTATCTTAGTCCATGCCGCTCTGTCATTGCTTGTCCATATATGTATATATTCTTAAATCCCATTCCTTACTTTTTTGTGTGTATTGGGTATATGTAGTGAAATTGTTAGATATTACTGCACTGTCGGAGCTAGAAGCACAAGCATTTCGCTACACCCGCTATAACATCTGCTAAATAAATAAAATCTGTGACAAATAAAATTCGATTTGAAAATGCGCCTATTTTCTTTATGCGGATTTTAGAATATTGCTCTCCGTTACTGTTTTTTAAAATCGTCATCAGTACAGTATACATCCCAATTTTAGCTCTAAGACGCCGGCAATTGTGATCGCCAAAATGTGATTGTGCTGATTTATAGGTGCATTGAACCATGTCGTGCGCTGTAGTTTAAAAACTCTGGATAGTGCTAAAACAATGACGTCATATCTGAATTCCGACATTTTTATGCACCTTCGCCATTGGATGGCAACGTAGCTATTGGTATTGAGGGATCCTATTGAGGCCAATGTGGATGCTATCTGTGCAAAGGGAAATCAGCGCCTGTTCTTCCTGAGGAAACACAGCAGTTTCAGGGTGGATAGGATGCTGATGACCATCTTTTACAGATCGTATATTGAATCCATTTTAACATTCAATATGATCTGCTGTTTTGGCAATATAAACTTAAAGCGTAAGAACAGGCTGGGTAACATTGTTAAACTAAGTAGCAGGATCATTGGTATGAACTTAACTGACATTTCTCACCTGTGTCAGACACTAGTAATACGCAAGGAGCCATCCATTTTGAAGGACTCCCAGCATCCCCTGTTCGATGAATATACGATGCTTCCCTCAGAGCGTAGATAAAGGCTCCCTAAGTTTAAAACTAACAGGTGTAAACTGTCCTTCATCCCAGCTGCTATCATCTTCCTCAACAAGCTGTGTATATATTGCTGTGTATACTGTTAGTTTTCTATTTGTATTTGGTGTATATTTATTATCATGTGTTCATTGTGTTTTACCTCGTGCCGCAAAATACATAATAAAGACTAGTCTACTCTATTGGAGTAGAGTGATCCTAACCGTTCTGTCTCTTTTCCCATTGGACAGCGAGGCCCCGGATATACCACCCCCCTCGGCCTCCCCCAGTGGCCACGGACACCCCCCCAATGTACGGCCGGACCACCCACACCCCCGACATCAGAAACACCACCATGCCTCCACGCACCAGCAACGGTGAGCAAGAGGAGAGAGGGAAAAGAGTTAGTGTCTAGTTGATGTGTTGTTGATTGTGGTTGGTTCACACTGGTTGTGTTGTGGTCGTAGACGTGGCGTTGGCAACAGTGTTGGTGCCAGTGTTGGTCATGATTCTGACCGCCCTCATCTTGACCATTGTCTGTGCCTGGCACTGGAAGAACAGGTGAGGATGAACTATAACTAGTAACAACTAAATAGACATCCACTCAGTAGCTCCCAACAAACTATGACACTTACATGCTGACTAGACCGGGCACGTGCGTGGGCCATTGCGCTCATGTTGATTTTGTCCAATCACACCAGACGCGATCAGGACACGCAGGTTGAAGTATCAAAACGAACTCTGAACCAACTATATTAATTTGGGGACAGGTCAAAAACATGAAACATTCATGGACATTTAGCTAGCTAATTTGTCCTGGGATATAAACATTGGGTTGTAATTTTACCTGAAATGCACAAGGCCATTTATTTTGCAACGCTCGCGGCGTGGTCAGCATGTTACATTTCCTTCTCTCCTCAGGAAGAAGAGTTCAGAGGGAGCTTATGACCTGTCTCACTGGGACCGTACAGGTAAACACAACACTCTGTGTGTGTGTGTGTGTGTGTGTGTGTGTGTTTAGATGTTTATTGTGTGTGTCTCTGTCCAGACTGGTGGAAGAGTATGAAGCAGTTCCTGCCGTCCAAGATAGCGGAGGGGGAGGAGTCAGTCCGCTACAGCAGCAGTGAGGTGGGCCGGCTCAGAGTGAGAGGGAACACCCCCAGACTACAGACTGAACCTGCAGGTACACACACACACAGGCGGTCCCAAATTTGTCATGCCTACTACTTACTAAAAATAAATACTGTATAATAATTGTACTATATACTATTTAGAAAGTTCTGTTTAGTAAAAACTAACGCAGTAAACAACAAATAAACATACAAGTCTCCTGAGAATGTGTAATCTAATGCACAATTGTGTTGATTCCTGCTTTTCGTTGACTTGGGTACAGCACATCCCCTTATCTCCTCAGCTGATTGTCAAACACACGTGAGTCTGAGAAGACTATTCTCTTCCTCAAAAGTGTGCAGCGAATTCTACTAGAAGAAAGGCCAAAATGTCCTGGCATTTAAAGCGTCCTCGAAATTTCACATACTATAAACCTTTCTATTTTTGCATACTTAAAATGCCTACTATTTAGATCGCAAGTATGGGTATTCGGATACGGCCACACACACACGATGTACACGGATACACAGACACACACAGTGTGAACTGAGTGTTTGTATGTGGAACACACCCTCTTCATCTCTTCCATTAGAGTATGCACAGCCCCTGGTCAGCGGTGTGGTGACATCACTAGGTCAGAGGTCAACCTTCAAGCCAGAGGAAGGCTATGACCCTGGCTACATGGACCCTGACCTGTACGATGCTCCCATGGCAACAGACATCTACCACGCCTACGCTGAACCCCTGCCCGCCTCCGGCGTCGAGTACGCCACGCCCATCATGATTGACATTGCAAGCCACCTATCAGGGAGCTCCGCACTGAACCAGCCAACCACAGTCTCCAGCTTCATGGGCCGTGGCCCCGCCTCCCTTCTCGCACGAACAGACAGCGGGCAATCGGGGAAGTCAATGTACGACACGCCCAAGAGTACAGGACAGGCCACGCCCACTGAGGATTTAGCCTATCAGGTGCCTCAGAGCAACTCTCAGAAGCCAGTGGGGCAGAGCTGAAGAGGTGGAGTGAGGACTGTGATTGACAAGGCCGTAACCATAAACCCCCCCCAATGGACAGAGAGAGGGGGATGATGGAGAGAGTAACCTGTAAAGAACACTACCTTAAAGTTAGTTCCCTTTGGAGATGTCTGTATGTGAGCGTGTCTACAGAGGACTCAGTATATGTGTGTCTACCTGTACGTGCATGGCCGGAGAGTGCTAGCATAGTACCATACCAGTCCTATCACTGAAACCACAAAGATGAATGTCTACATGAGAGAGAGAACAGAAAGAGAGCAGAAACAAGGAGAGATGGAGAGCTCTACTGTTTCAGCCAGGCTATGTCCCCTCTGTGTGTCTCTTCATTTGATGTTTTGTCAAACTGAGTATATATATTAGTTCGTTTCGTGTCAATCTAAAAGTGAAATAATTCTCAAAACAATAGGTTCTCTGAAGTGGTTGCCTTCTATAGAAAGTCAATGTTTCTACCACTGAAGTGTTCTCTGCATAAAGGCCAAAGGTCACTTATGTCTAAAGAGGAGCTTCCTCAGTTTTACTACGGTACGCTTTGATTGGAGGCTTGTACTATTTCAGCTTCTAGATCTCAATATCAGACCTGTCAAAATGTTTGAGTTTAACCAATCACCTTATACATAAAGCTAGAGTGAAATCCACACCAAAAACCTGTTGAAGTTTCAGAAAAATTATTTTTATAATTCCTGCTGAAAACGACATACTCTCACTTAAAAAAATAATAATAATCCCAACCACTATGGAAAGCGGTGATGAATCGGCTTCAAAGAATTATGGTTGCACTGTTTTCATGGTTACACTGTTGTTGTCATGGACACCTCGTTTAGGTGCCATTTGTATTTGCCCGATTGGATTCACACACTGACAGATTAGGACCAGTGACTTGAAGAGGAAGAATCTGCCCTCATGGTGAACCTAGAGGAGCTGCCCAACAGAAGGGCTGTCTCTACAGTACTGTGGCTTGCGAAAGTATTCACCCCCCCCCCCCCGGCATTTTTCCTATTTTCCTAAATTAAAATTGATTTTTTGGGGGTTTGTATCATTTGATTTACACAACATGTCTACCATTTTGAAGATGCAAAAAACTTTTTTGGGTGTGAAATAAGACAAAAAAACAGAACTTGAGCGTGCATAACTATTCACCCCCCATTACAGCTGCAAGTCTGTTGGAGTATGTCTCTATAAGCTTGGCACATCTAGCCACTGGGATTTTTGCCCATTCTTCAAGGAAAAACTGCTCTATCTCCATCAAGTTGGACGGGTTCTGCTGGTGTACAGCAATCTTTAAGTCATACCACAGATTCTCAATTAGATTGAGATCTGGGCTTTGACTAGGCCATTCCAAGACATTTCAATGTTTCCCCTTAAACCACTCAAGTGTTGCTTGGCCTGCTGGAAGGTTAACCTCCGTCACAGTCTCAAATCTCTGGAAGACTGAAAAAGGTTTCCTTCAAGAATTTCCCTGTATTTAGCGCCATCCATCATTCATTCAATTCTGACCAGTTTTCCAGTCCCTGCTGATGAAAAACATCCCCACAGCATGATGCTGCCACCACCATGCTTCACTGTGGGGATGGTGTTCTCGGGGTGATGAGAGGTGTTGGGTTTGTCCAGACATGGTGTTTTCCTTGATGGCCAAAAAGCTCAATGTTAGTCTCATCTGACCAGAGTACCTTCTTCCATATGTTTGGGGAGCCTCCCACATGCCTTTTGCCGAACACCAAACGTGTTTGCTTATTTTTTTCTTTAAGCAATGGCTTGTTTCTGGCCACTCTTCCGTAAAGCCCAGCTCTGTGGAGTGGATGGCTTAAAGTGGTCCTATGGACAGATACTCCAATCTCCGCTGTGGAGCTTTGCAGCTCCTTCAGGGTTATCTTTGGTCTCTTTGTTGCCTCTCTGATTAATGCCCTCCTTGCCTGGTCCGTGAGTTTTGGTGGGCGGCCCTCTCTTGGCAGGTTTGTTGTGGTGCTATATTCTTTCCATTATTTAATAATGGATTTACAGTTTTTTTCAATTGCTTAAGCACAATTTTGAAAACAGGGCCCGGTTTTTCAAACCCCTTCACACAATTAGCACAACACTACACCAAAGTAGCACAACACCTCAGATAATTTGCAAAATGGAACACTTTTGTCAAAACTATACAATGTCTTATAAAAACCTTATTTTGTTGTCATAACATGAACCCAACCATCATATGGTCTGATTCTGTTTGAATCAGTTAAACACTCCAGTGCTCAACCTAAAACACTTTTAGCATTTACACAGAGAAAGTGTAAAAATAAATTCACCAACACCACATGACACCAATTGTGCAGACTAATGAAAATATGTATTTATTTTCATGTACTCAAGTCAGTCAATACTGAACATTTCACCAAAACATTCATAACAAAACATTTTCCAGTTTTCATACAGTATTACTGAACGTACCATTGTACTGTAAGCTTACAGTAATACTGTAACATAAATTACATATCCAGTTCAGTACCGACTAAAAAAGAAAAACAACCTAAACATCTCTCCGCCTAGCTGGATCTGGCCACAGGGCTTCGTCAACATCACAGGCTATATTTTCATTTGCAAGGCAACGTGGGAAGAATATTTTGGAGTGACGAATCCACCCTTGTATGGATGCTGCTTCAATTTGATCACATGCTTCCACCATAGCTTGAATGAGGGCCATCTGGACATAGGGCCGGAGATCATAAACCTTCCACCGCCATGCTGAGAATAACTCCTCGATGGGGTTTAGGAAGGGGGAGTATGGTGGAAGGTTTTGAACTGTAAATTGTGGGTGTTGATGAAACCAGTTTTGGACCAGTTCAGAACGATGGAAAGCTACATTGTCCCAGACGACAATGTATTGCATCTGGTCCCTTTGGTTTGCTGCTGTGATAATATTGTGTAATCTGTAAGAATGAGGTCAGTGTTGTAAGGACCCAAGTTGGCATGGCGGTGGAGGACCTCATTCTGTGTAATGGCAGCACAAAGGGTAATGTTACCCCCACGTTGCCCTGGTACATTGACAATAGCCCTGTGGCCAATTATGTTTCTTCCCCTTCTTCTCACTGTTGTCAGGTTAAATCCAGCCTCATCAATGTATATAAACTAATGCGGGACTTCCTCCGCATCCATTTGCAAAACTCTCTGAAATACAGCAAAAGATCACATTGTGTAGATCAATTTACTGTAGGACTGCTATACAGTAAAATGACATGTACAGTAAAAAGGTTATGTGTGCAGTACACAATACTACAGTCAGTGAACAAAACGTACCACCACATATTCACGCCGCAGGCCTTTCACCCTGTCTGAATTTCTTTCAAATGGCACTTTATAGTTGTTTAATCAGAACTTGATGTTTTTTAAGGATACGGGCTATTGTGGACAGAGAGACCTGTTGGACATTATTGAACATTTGGTGATCATTGACAATATGGGCTTGAATATCTCTAAGTCTGATTGCATTATTGGCCAAAACAAGGTTAATGATCTCTCTCTCTTGCTCCTGTGTGAATATGGGGCCCCTCCCTCCTTGGTGTTCTCAACGTTCAATCCTATGTTGGCCAAACAAAATACATGTAGCTTACTGTAAAATGATACAGGAATAGATACCAAAACTGTTGATATAGTACATGCAGTAAGCTATGGATTTTCTGTTGACAGAAGATACGTTTCTCACCTGTGCTCTTGACGAAATGTCCGAACTATTGATGCCACCGTGTACCTGCTTAGGTTAGGCTGTACTCTCAGTCCAGCCTCCCTCAGTGGTAGTCCGTGGTTTATTACATGGTCCACAATTGTAGCACGAATTTCGTTACACAGATTTGGTTGTCTTCTTTGAGCATGTCCTACCCCTCCTCCAGGTCTTCCTCTCCCTCTTCCTCTGACACCGTCCATTTTTTTTGAAGACAGGTGAACTTATCTGTTGCCTTTTTATAGTGCTTAAACCTGATTGGTGTCTCTACAAATAAGCACCAGTGTGTGTGCACACCTGGTGGCTGTGTTTAACCAATTGGTTCATGGTTGTGTTCATTTGAAAGCCTTTGCTTTGAAATTGCAAGGAAATGACATCATGATACATTTCTGTGTCAAATGCATAAAAATGTGTTTTGAAAATCTTTGCTGGACATCATTGGAAAATCAAATGAAATCAGCCAAGACCTCAGAAAAATTAATTGTAGACCTCCACAAGTCTGGTTCATCATTGGGAGCAATTTCCAAATGCCTGAAGGTACCACGTTCATCTGTACAAACAATAGTGCGCAAGTATAAACACCATGGGACCACGCAGCCATCATACCGCTCAGGAAGGAGACGGATCTGTCTCCTAGAGATGAACGTACTTTGGTGCGAAAAGTGCAAATCAATCCCAGAACAACAGCAAAGGACCTTGTGAAGATGCTGGAGGAAACAGGTACAAAAGTATCTATATCCACAGTAAAACGAGTCCTATATCGACATAACCTGAAAGGCCGCTCAGCAAGGAAGAAGCCACTGCTCCAAAACCGCCATAAAAAAGCCAGACTACGGTTTGCAACTGCACATGGGGACAAAGATCGTACTTTTTGGAGAAATATCCTCTGGTCTGATGAAACAAAAATAGAACTGTTTGGCCATCGTTATGTTTGGAGGAAAAAGGGGGTTGCTTGCAAGCCGAAGAACACCATCCCAACCGTGAAGCACGGGGGTGGCAGCATCATGCTGTGGGGGTGCTTTGCTGCAGGAGGGACTGGTGCACTTCACAAAATAGATGGTATCATGAGGAAGGAAAATTATGTGGATATATTGAAGCAACATCTTAAGACATCAGTCAGGAAGTTAAAACTTGGTCGCAAATGGGTCTTCAAAATTGACAATGACCCCAAGCATACTTCAAAGTTGTGGCAAACTGGCTTAAGGACAACAAAGTCAAGGTATTGGAGGGGCCATCACAAAGCCCTGATCTGAATCCTATAGAAAATGTGTGGGCAGAACTGAAAAAGCATGTGCGAGCAAGGAGGCCTACAAACCTGACTCAGCTCTGTCAGGAGGAATGGGCCAAAATTCACCCAACTTATTGTGGGAAGCTTGTGGAAGGCTACACGAAACGTTTGACCCAAGTTAAACAATTTAAAGGCAATGCTACCAAATACTAATTGAGTGTATGTAAACTTCTGACCCACTGGGAATGTGATGAAAGAAATAAAAGCTGAAATAAATAATTCCCTCTACTATTATTCTGACATTTCACATTCTTAAAATAAAGTGGTGATCCTAACTGACCTAAGACAGGGAATTTTTATTAGGATTAAATGTCAGGAATTGTAAAAAACTGAGTTTAAATGTATTTGGCTAAGGTGTATGTAAACTTCCGACTTCAACTGTATAATAACTGTCCACATTTACTTTTCCTCAGCCAACAAGAGGAGTAACAAACAGCAAAATTACTAGCCTGTCAATCTACTATAGTAGAAAAGATTAGGCTACCTCTTCTATTGGTCAGCTTGTCGAGAAATAAATAGCCTATTCCAAACAGACTCTGGGACAGTTGTGGGATGATAGAGCCAAATCCATCCAACCAGTAGGCCTAGGCTACATAAAAACAACGTTAAAAAAGCAATGAGGCTGACGCAACAGATGAGAACGTTTAGCTTAAAATGTTGATAAACTATTATTTCTTCGCATTAAAAGTGCGCAATGTGTACAAGGCAGTAGACTAGCGCGAATGTTCGTTCCATAATTCAATTTGTGGGAAAACACTGTTGTCAAAAGGGCATTGCACATGCGAGCGGTTTCATGTGACAGAGATTAAAATATCTGTTAGAGAGGAGATCTAACTTCGAAGCAAAGTAAGACAGGGAATTTTTACTAGGATTAAATGTCAGGAATTGTGAAAAACTAAGTTTAAATATATTTGGCTAAGGTGTATGTAAACTTCCGACTTCAACTGTAATTGGTTGCACCAGATCTTATTTAGGGGCTTCATAGCAAAGGGGGTGAATACATATGCATGCACCACTTTTCCGTTATTTATTTTTTGAATTTTTTGAAACAAGTTATTTTTTTCATTTCACTTCACCAATTTGGAATATTTTGTGTATGCCCATTACATGAAATCCAAATAAAAATCTATTTAAATTACAGGTTGTAATGCAACAAAATAGGAAAAACGCCAAGGGGGATGAATACTTTTGCAAGGACCTGTATGTCAGTGAGACTAAACGGTGCCTTGTGTTTTAATATTATGCATCATTTAGCCAACCATTCCCACAGAATCCAGAGGTTGTAGGACTTCTGTGTGTGCTAGAGGAAGATGGTCCTCTCTAGCCAAACACACTGGAGTAGTCTAGGTTACCACGTCAGGTGTGTGTATGGTACGGATCCTGACAAAGACGCTATGGCGAGAAGAGACGGTGAGCAAACATTATCACTAGTGACCAATCAGCATGCAGAAGTTAATATTTACAGAAACACCTCAAATTCCAATATGTGTGTGTATCCGTGTATGTGAATTGCTGTCTCTGTTTATTTCTTGGACATTGACTGTCTCTACTGTATGACTTATGTCTCATCAATGTGTCTGTAATGGCTTTCCGTAGTATCTTTGTGTGAGTAGCTGTGTCTGTGTATCGGTGTGTCTGTCTTAGTATGGCTGTCCTAAAGAGAGTATCTGTGTGCGGCTAGCTATGTCTGTACGACTGTCCCTGTAAGTGTACTGTATCTGTGTTTGATTAGTCATGTCTGTAGTCAGTGGAGCTCATTAGTCTGGTCACTCCCCGTCTTGAACTCAAATCTGAACCTGGACCAGTTGAACTTTAGGTTAAAGGTTAGGACTTCAGTAGGTAAGGCTGGCCCTAGGTCCGTGTGTTCCCTGGTCACTATGTGCGTTTCTATGACCACAGATTGTACAAGGAGAAATAAAGCATTTTTAAAAAGTAATGTTTTTAAAAAACTTCTACACATTCATATGATCTAGAGTGAAGAAAAAAAAAACTTCAATGATTTCTTCATATTTCACATTACTTAATAATATCTTGAAGATCATATCTTAAAGGGATTCTCCGGTACTTTTGTATACCTTTTAGCCAGTAGTTCTGAAAGTAGCACTCACCAGCCAAAGGTGGTCCCCGAAAATTGCATACTACGTCACATGTGCAGATATGTGCACCATGTCATTGCTCTCTCTCTCTCGCTCTGCTGTGGTGCATCATGCGCATCTTGCTGGCTGTCACACATCGAGCGAGAGGCTGAAGCTCATTGGTTGAACTCAAATTGCTAGAGGGCTGGAACACGTAGAGGAAAATGTAGGGAAAATGGCGTAGCACAGTTTCCAGAAAAACAGTTGCTAGGGATTTCGTGGCTAATTGAGGTAAAACAGTAATTCTGCTCAGAGATTATGCATGTATGAACTACACATTGACACATCCAGTGGGAGGTTTAAAAAATACTTAGTAGTCACCAAAGTTCCCGGAGCATGTCTTTAATCGATATTCAAGCACTGACATAAATTATCACAACTGAAAACATAATTTCCTATGGTTACCCACCTCATTTCATTCTAACAGCACTACTGCCACCACATGGTCATGTAGGGAAATTAAACCAAGCACAAGCATTCATGATGATCAAATGCTGAAAACACAAACCCCATCTCTAATCTAGAACTACATACATTTAAGACCATTGAACATTTTAATAATCACATTCACTGTATTTACAGTATTATGAATTAATCTTAAATACATTAAGATTGATAGGTTGATAGAATTCTCTTTCATGATTCACTCCATATGTCTCCTCTTCGTCACCTTTTCACATCGCTCCTTTTCCATCATTCCTCCATATTCCGTCCGTTCTTACCAAACTTCCACCAGACTGCGGTGAGGATGACAGCGAGAAGCAGGATGAGACAGCCTGTGACCAGGTAGGCTACGGGCAGGAAGTTGTTCTGACCCCCGAACCAGCTGACTGTGGACAGGACCACTTCCTTTCTGCCCTGGAAGTACTCCACTGGGAAGTCTGGAGAGGGGGCAGAGGTCAAGGATAAACATAGCCACATACGGTGAACACAAACCTTTAATGTAAACATAGAGGCTTTAAATAGTCAGTAGGCATACTATTAGTGGGCTACCATCATTTTTTCACACAGATAAAGGAAATAGATGTTTTTGTGCTTCATGTGCTGTGACTTTCCATTGTTCTTGAAACTGATCAAATAAACAAATCCAATAATCCAAGCCACAACCTACTGTTTCACTACCATCCAAAGAGAAACTAGCTACACTAACCCCAATCCACCTAAGGGTTGGAAATAGGAGCATGCAATTGGGAAATACAGTAAAAAATATATATATATAGTTTTGATTCAATTGACTCAAATCTCAATGTGATCTCCCTGGTAAGACAATCATTAATAACCATATGCATAACAAAGGATACTGTAGGAGATATGGACGCTGTAGTTTCCAGCCGGCAGCCCCTCGGTGAAGGGTTCTATGGCTCGGTTCAGGACCCCGTAGAGCTTCTTGAAGTTGGGGAAGGCAGCCTCCCTCATCCACACAATCAGGTCCTCGTTGATGAAGCCGTTGTTGTTACGGTCCCAGGGGTCCAGGTCATACACTGGCTTCTGCCAGTACAGAGGCTGGGCCGTGCCTGACAACACATAGATAACGGTTAGATCTAGAGTCCAGACAATGTTTTGACAACAGTAATACAACATTTAGACAACATTGAGACATGATTTGGAAAAGGTTTTGACAACAGTCATACAACATTTGGAAAGGTAAGAGGAAGCAGTGATAGAAATGTCTATTAATGTGGTATTAATAATAGTGATGGCCATGAACGATGAACATGCCATGAACACACTCTGGGTGTGAGACACACCTTCAAACACCTGTGCTAATGTTTGGGTCTTGTTCGCCTGTGGGTTGCGGAACTTGACGTTCTTGTCGGTGTACCAGGTGATGCCCTTCCTGAACAGAGGAACATGGACCACCGGACCGCTCGCTGCGGAGTGGTACACCAGAGTGAAGGAGTCTGGGACAAACACAAACAAAACTCGTCAATTAATCAAAACCAGGTATTTCATGTCAGAGAGAGATTTGATCATATCACTGGATATTAAAAGGTGCTTAATACAGTCACATTATTAGCAGAGACTCATAACATAAACTGATATTGTTGAGTAATGGTGTAATACCGTTGAACATGCTGTTGGCCACAGCCCCACAGGGGGCGATAGGTAGTCCGTTCTTATCCTTTATGAAGGGCTTGCAATAGGAGCTGGGGTTCTGTAGAGACAGACAGGAAGAATTTGATGGGGCAGAAGTTGTAAAAGTTTAGAATGAACCAGAGAATTAAGAGGATGAAGACAGAGAAGAATAGATTGATAGATAAACAGTAGCTACCTTGAGGTTTTCCTTTCTCCCAATCATCTGTCCATCGTCCCTGGAGTCCATGTATTGCCGGAGGTTCTGGTGGAAGTTGATCAGGCCGTAGTAGAAGAACACATCTCCCTGGGACAGGAAATGCATCATCACTGTGCGTCTTAAAGGACTTGGATTTCGCTTCCAACATTTTGAACACTGACACATACAGTACATTAGCGTGTGGTCTTGCCGAAGTGTACACAACAAGGCAAACACACATACTCACACACCTTGAACATGTTTTCGATGTTAAACACCACAGTGCAGTTGCAGCTCTGGTTCGCATTGGCACGGTCTTTACGCTTCTCAAAACACTTATCACATGAACCTGCGTGTGTGTAGTCTACCTGTAGAGGGACGGAAGGAGAGATAGCAGGAGGGAGAGAAATAGATACTGTGCATTCGGAAAGTATTCAGACCCCTTCACTTTTTCCACATTTTGTTACGTTACAGCCTTAATCTAAAATTGATTAAATAAAACATTATCCTCATCAATCTACACACAATACCCCATAATGACAAAGCGAACAGGTTTAGAAATTTTAGCAAATGTATTAAAAATAAAAACACAGATATCTTATTTACGTAAGTATTCAGACCCTTTGCTATGAGACTCGAAATTGAGCTCAGGTGCATCCTGTTTCCATTGATCATCCTTGAGATGTTTCTACAACTTTATTGGAGTCCACCTGTGGTAAATTCAATTGATTGGACATGATTTGGAAAGGTACACACCTGTCTATATAAGGTCCCACAGTTGACAGTGCATGTCAGAGCAAAAACCAAGCCATGAGGTCGAAGGAATTGTCCGTAGAGCTCCAAGACAGGATTGTGTCGAGGCACAGATCTGGGGAAGGGTACCAACAAATGTCTGCAGCATTGAAGGACCCCAAGAACACAGTGGCCTCCATCATTCTTAAATGGAAGAAGTTTGGAACCACCAAGACTCTTCCTAGAGCTGACCGCCCGGCTAAACTGAGCAATCGGGGGAGAAGGGCCTTGGTCAGGGAGGTGACCAAGAACCCGATGGCCACTCTGACAGAGCTCCAGAGTTCCTCTGTGGAGATGGGAGAACCTTCCAGAAGGACAACCATCTCTGCAGCACTCCACCAATCAGGCCTTTATGGCCGAGTGGCCAGACGGAAGCCACTCCTCAGTAAAAGGCACATGACAGCCCGCGTGGAGTTTGCCAAAAGCCACCTAAAGGACTCTGTGACCATGAGAAACAAGATTATCTGGTCTGATGAAACCAAGATTGAACTCTTTGGCCTGAATGCCAAGCTTCACGCTGGGAGGAAACATGGCACCATCCCTACGGTGAAGCATGGTGGTGGCAGCATCATGCTGTGGTAATGTTTTTCAGCGGCAGGGACTGGGAAACTAGTCAGGATCGAGGGACAGATGAACGGAGCAAAGTACAGAGAGATCCTGATGAAATACTGATCCAGAGCGCTCAGGACCTCAGACTGGGGTGAAGGTTCACTTTCCAACAGGACAACAACCCTAAGCATACAGCCAAGACAACGCAGGAGTGGCTTCGGGACAAGTCTCTGAATATCCTTGAGTGGCCCAGCCAGAGCCTGGACTTGAACACGATCGAACATCTTTGGAGAGACCTGAAAATAGCTGTGCAGCGACGCTCCCCATCCAACCTGACAGAGCTTGAGAGGATCTGCAGAGAAGAATGGGAGAAACTCCCCAAATACAGGTGTGCCAAGCGTCATACCCAAGAAAACTCTAGGCTGTAATCGCTGCCAAAGGTTTTTTATAAATTAGATAACATTCCTAAAAACCTGTTTTTGCTTTGTCATTATGGGGTATTGTGTGTAGATTGAGAGAAAAAAAATAAAAAAATAATCCATGTTCGAATAAGGCTGTAATGTAACAAAATGTGTCAAAAGTCAAGGGGTCTGAATACTTACCGAATGCACTCTATAGCAAACACATTAAAATCTATATGAATCTCAGAATGTTTGTTTCCCACAGCCTTGTTATACTGTAGCTACACATTCTCAGAATACCCTGGAACTGTTCCCTCTCATAGTCTCTACCTCTCTATCAGAATACCCTGGAACTGTTCCCTCTCATAGTCTCTACCTCTCTATCAGAATACCCTGGAACTGTTCCCTTTCATAGTCTCTACCTCTCTATCAGAATACCCTGGAACTGTTCCCTCTCATAGTCTCTACCTCTCTATCAGAATACCCTGGAACTGTTCCCTCTCATAGTCTCTACCTCTCTATCAGAATACCCTGGAACTGTTCCCTCTCATAGTCTCTACCTCTCTATCAGAATACCCTGGAACTGTTCCCTCTCATAGTCTCTACCTCTCTATCAGAATACCCTGGAACTGTTCCCTCTCATAGTCTCTACCTCTCTATCAGAATACCCTGGAACTGTTCCCTCTCATAGTCTCTACCTCTCTATCAGAATACCCTGGAACTGTTCCCTCTCATAGTCTCTACCTCTCTATCAGAATACCCTGGAACTGTTCCCTCTCATAGTCTCTACCTCTCTATCAGAATACCCTGGAACGGTTCCCTCTCATAGTCTCTACCTCTCTATCAGAATACCCTGGAATTGTTCCCTCTCATAGTCTCTACCTCTCTATCAGAATACCCTGGAATTGTTCCCTCTCATAGTCTCTACCTCTCTATCAGAATACCCTGGAACTGTTCCCTCTCATATTGTCTCTACCTCTCTATCAGAATATCCTGGATCTGCTCTTATTGTCTCCTACCTATCCCTCTGTCTTGTGTTCATGGTTAGATAAGCTATGCACTCTGGAGGGTGTTACCTGCTCCATTTCAAGTGATTGTGTGTGTGTGTGTATCGGTAGAGGAAAAAAGTATTAGTTTTATTCGAAAGGATCGCTTACTCACCTTCAGTTCGTGTGTATTCTGCACGGTGACAAGTAGCCACACCCCCAGCAGCACACACACAGCGGCCATACTGTAGAAGAAAGGCAGGACGGTTTGAGCTGTGAGCATTGGGGACCAGGCAGGCAGTCTCTGCTGTTTGAAAGCAGAGTTATCAGGCCTCCGGGCCAGGGGCCCAGCGTTTGCCTTCGCCTTGCCCATGACAGAGAGCTCCGGCTGGGGAAGGGAGAGGAGTACGGGAAAGTCAGACAACCAGAGAACAAGCAGGGGAGAGGAGTCTTCCCTCTCTTCTCTTCCGGTCTTCTTTAACGCGGTCTTATCAAAAACATTTCTCTCCCTCGACTAGGGTGGGGAAGACCTTTGAGACAGGCTGCTGGCCGTTACTCATTAACCAGAATCCTCCGCTCTACTTGCTCTTTTTCTACTGTTCTTTGCTCACTCCTTCCCTAGCGATTCAGTCCTACATACATACTGATGTATTTCAGTCGATCATATCATCTAAGTACTAAAATATCTCCGGTTTATTTTCCGACAGTACCTTACGATCAGTTATTTCTTCCCCACTAAAACTAGTTGCCGTTGTCTGTTCCAGCTTCCTAGTTGTAGAACACACTCACATACAGGATGTTATGATAAACCAGACTTCCTACTGGGCGAAACAACTCATGACATCTCAGGCTCAGTGGGAGGGGCTTCCCGCTAGTGTGGGTGAACAAACAGAGAGAGAGTCTGGTTCCATTCAGAATGTCTTTATTCAAACCATCACACGGTCGGGTGGTGTTGAACTACAACACTGTATAAACCATATCAGACATTTTACACGGTCACTTAAAATAGAACAAGAACAACACAGTGTCACATAGAGAGGGTAAAAGCAGGATAGGGAAGATGGTTGAAATGTCCAGCAGTCTCACTGTCTGTTATGGAGACAGGATTGGTTTGAGGGGCCCTACTTAACTTTGTTGCGTGTGAAAGAGAGCATGATCAGAAGAGGTCCAGTTTGACTTGGTTGGGTGTGTGTTTGTGTCAGTCTAAGGCGTAGTATGACACTAGGTGTGTGTATGTGTATCTGTATCAGAACAGTCCCACTTTGACTTTTCCTTCCCTACAACCTTTCAAGATCCCCGTATCCAGCAGCTTCAGCAAGTCACCTTTGACCTGGAAGTGAAAAAGAGGGCTGTGTTATTAAGAAACCCCATATATAGTCTGTCTGGCAGAAAGCCCATGTAATACTAGTGTACATTTTCCGTGCTGTGTAAAGTATGACTGTTACTGGACCAGCAGGGGGCCTTGTAGTCTCACCTCAGGGACGTCCACCATCCTGCGAAGCTTCTGGTCCCTCCAGTTCCAGTCCAGAACCAGGAAGCGCAGCGGCGGAAGGGTCAGACCCTCTGGAAAAGGTCAGAGGTCAGATAGGGGTCAGATGGGGGTTAAATCCCTGAGGGGGAGTGAATTAGTGCACACCTCAGGTTGAAGGTTAGACGATCAGAACAAAGTCACAGTATATTAAGCCACACTAAGGACAAGCTGTACCTTTCTCTATGAGGGCGCTCAGTCTCCCTGGTGTCCCCACCCCGATGTGTGTCACCCCCTTCTGTAGGAGCTTCACCTGCTCCTCTACCTGGGGACAGAAAGAGTACAGTCACGCTTGGCTTTACTCACTCACAGAACGGCTCATCTGTCTCCATTAATATTCATAGGAATCTATTGTACAGTAAGGTCTGTTACCTTGATGTGCTTTGCAAACAGCTTCAGCACTTTGGCCTCTCCCTTGAAGGTGGTCAACTGTCTGGTGAAGAGGTAAAAACAAGGGAACATTATATTGAGCTGAGAAGTGCCATAAAGTATACACAATAAAAGGAAATAAAAGATGATAAATGGTAAACGAGGGAGATGTGTGTTGTTACTCACTTGATGAGCTCGATAACTCTTAGGGCGGAGCTACAGACGATTAGCATAACCACAGAACTCTTCTCTGTGTGCTGCTTCTGGACCTTAGCCCATTTGGGACAAACTGAGCGAAAAGAGAAAGGGAAAAACATATACAGTGATACAAGGGACGGATGTCAATAGTCTAAAGTGGCTTCCTCTCCTCATTTCCTCTACTAAAGCAGTGCAGATGAAGGAGAGGCGATTAGGAGGGGAAGCCAACACCAGACTGAGTTAATACCCAAGAACACATCTCGGAACATGACAGAAGACTTACAGCACATATGGGACAGCAGTCCTATTAGTGTAACATTGTGGTTAAAAAGGAGTAATGTATTGGTGAGAGGTATCTAATGTAAATGTAAAATGTTATGTATTTAGGTATGTAAGGTGTGATGGTTTGATTTGAACTCACTTTCTTTCAGGTAGGAGGAGAGGCTGTGTGTGAGGTCATTACTCGTCACAAAGCAGGAATCTGTGACCAATCAGAGAAGAAAGTCACATTAGGAAATTCAGAGAAAGTGAGTGAGTAAGAGAGAGAGACTAGAGAGAGACTAAAGGCGTTCGCATGCTTCAGTTCGGCTGGCACCTATCCGAACTCGGCTAGGCAAACCGTGTGCTCGCATACTCCCTTAAAAGACCGCTTGAAAAACAAGACAAAAAGCGGCAATATTACTGTTTGTCCATTTTGAGACGCCGTAGCCAGTATACACTTCCTCAATAGTCAGAATGAATCTAAGATAACTCAAGAAATCTGTCACTCATTTTGACGTTTTTGCCGAGGAGATCGTAATCACACAATTCTACATCTAACTAAGATGTTGGGTGCAGTATTTCTTAATGAAAAAATGTGCATGAAAATGAGTCGTCTCTCAGTGAATGACAACAAATCCCTACTGTTGACCAATCACCGACGAAGGGGCGTAGACTTCGGCTATCGACTTCGGCTTGCCTAAGAAAAAATGGTGTGCTTGAACAGACGAAAAAACCCTTAACGATGTTGAAAATGAACAAAAACGTCACAAAATGTTATCAAAATATACTGTATGAAAGACCTCTTACGAAATATTTCGGCTGGGAAGCATGCAGACGCCTTTAGACAGACAGACTGATGGTCCTTAAACTCAGATACACCGGTAGGTTTGTCCAACGTTTACCTGCCGACAATACTTAGCACCTCTGAACAGTGTCGGCAGTCAATCTCTTTTGTGTTCACACAGCAAAGACCTTTGAAGTCGTCAGCCCTCAGCCTTGTTAAAATACTCCAAACCAGAAGGTGGCAGTAGCGTTTTTTACATTTACATTTTAGTCATTATGGTTATGGTCTAAATTCCAAGCTATCTGCGTTAATCTTGCCATTTTGTAGAAAGCCCTTGTTGATACTAGCCAGATGGCCACAGCTAGATACCTACCTAGCAATTTAATTCACTCTCCATAATCCCATACTGCGAATGCCAGCTCATAGCCAAATGTTCAGCTAGCTAGCTAACGTTAGCATATTCGCTAGCTAGCTAAGAACATTGCACATATTCGGCAGCTAACACAGGCAGCTGTTTCATGGAAACTAGCTAACCAATTGTGATTTAATTATAATGTCAATACTAGCTACAGTGGTTAGCTAGCTTGGAGGAAGTATTTAGTGTTGTGTGCATTGCGTCTGTGCACTTACCTAGCTACTATTACATAGCCTACTGTATATTGCATATGAAGTGTGACTGGCTCATCCGTGGATGTACGGAGAAAATGACCGCTTTTGTTCTAGCAAGAGAAGGAACGGCCTCCCACTGTGATAAGTACCTATCGGCAGTGAGTACCGGTGTGTTTCATGTTTTAGACCTAACAGCAGACAGAAGTCAGGTGTGATAGTTGAAAGGTCAAAGGTGACTCACCCTGTAGTTTGAGCTCCTCCAGCTCGATGACGGAGCGCTTGTCTTTGAAGTGTTCTAGAACCAGGCTCTGCAGGTCACCTGGAGAGCCCGGTTTGGGTTCCGAGGTGGCGAGGACGTCTGTGATCGTCTTCTTCTTCTTCTGAATACTCACAAAGCCACAATTCCCACTTTATAACACCAATGCGACTGAATTTATGCACATTTTAACTGCAGTTCCTCTTTGGTACAGCAGGTGTCTCTTCAATGATCTTACCTTCCTCTTTTTCTTGGGCTTTTTTTCTCCCTCATCCTCTTTCTTCTCCTGAGCCATAAAACACTCAGTCTGTGATTTCTGTGTAGACAAATATATTTGAGACAGAAGCAGTACACTTGTACACCAGACAAAACACATTGAAGTCAGAAGTGTGACGTTTACAACAAACTATTACATACCAGTGCAGTCTTCTTCTTCTTGGCCGGGACTGGTTTTTCTGTTACACTCTTCCTCTTCTTTCCTTTCTTCTCCTGTGGGGATGCTTGATCTGTGGGCTGTTTCTCCTCCTCTTTCTCTGGTTCTTCTCTCTCCTCCTCTCCCCCTGGGGCATCTGAAAGAGCACAAAGTGCAAGTTCTAGTTGGACTTTGCTCAACCTCACTGGACAGGCATAGTTACAAGGTGCATTGTCACCAAGATGAGTATACTTTATAGTCACCTTGGAAGCCAATGTTGTAACATACAGCCACACCAAATGCCTGGCTAGCTCTCATCCCCCCGTCCCATCACTCTCATACCCTCCCTCCCATCTCTCCCCCCTCGCCTCTCACCCTAATGTTGTGAAGTCATGCCCAGGCCCCATGGGAACGGCGCAGAGGAGAATGTCCGCTCGTAAATACCTCTGGTTTAATTTAAACAGGCAAACACCACGGTCCCACCTCTAAATCTGGACATTTCACAACACTGGCCCCACTGGCCACGAGCAGAGGAGGTGGAGGACAGTCAGGACACACTGTCTAGTGTCTAACCGTAGATCTAGAACGTAAAGAACAGACTGTCTGACATATTCCACAGGGTAGCATGTCATGAACCCATATTCACGTAGATGTTCATTCTATCTATTCCATATCTGTGGTTGTCTGGTCGAACCTCACACTTGCCCCAGAGAACATTCCCTCCCCTAAGCCTGCATTGGGACATGTCCTTAACAAAGCCATGTACAGTGCATTCGGAAAGTATTCAGACCCCGTCCCCTTTCCCACATTTTGTTACGTTACAGCCTTATTCTAAAATGGATTATATATATTTTATTCTCATCAATCTACACACAATAGTCACCTGTATTGTAGAGGGAGGAGTTATTATCACCTCCGCACCTTATAGGCTTATGAATCCATGGGAATTAGGACTTAACTATTGGTGTCCTATTGGTGGTATTTATGAGGGTCACATGAAGAGGGAATCAGGCGTTGGAGTCTTATAAACATATTATAAACTGAAACCCTTCAGCCTACACATTCAGTCTGGAAAAAAACTCTGCTCGGGTTAATCTCTTAAAATCCAGCCATGCCTCATGTCACCAGATCCCCAAAATGCCCTGGATACATTATCATTACAACCCTGGAAAGTATTCTGACCCCTTGACTTTTTCCACATTTTGTTACGTTTCAGCCTTATTCTAAAATTGATTAAATCTTTTTTTCCCCCTCATCAATCTACACACAATACCCCATAATGACAAAGCAAAAACAGGTTTCAACTGTATTTGGGGAGTTTCTCCCATTCTTCTCTGCAGATCCTCTCAAGCTCTGTCAGGTTGAATGGGGAGCGTCGCTGCACAGCTTTTTTCAGGTCTCTCCAGAGATGTTCGATCGGGTTCAAGTCCGGGCTCTGGCTGGGCCACTCAAGGACATTCAGAGACTTGTCCCAAAGCAACTCCTGCGTTGTCTTGGCTGTGTGCTTAGGGTCGTTGTTCTGTTCGAAGGTGAACCTTCGCCCCAGTCTGAGGTCCTGAGCGCTCTGTAGAAGGTTTTCATCAGGATCTCTCTGTACTTTGCTCCAATCATCTTTCCCTTGATCCTGACTAGTCTCCCAGTCCCTGCCTCTGAAAAACATCCCCACAGCATGATGCTGCCACCACCATGCCTCACCGTAGGGATGGTGCCAGGTTTCCTCCAGACATGACGCTTGGCAATCAGACCAAAGAGTTTAGTCTTGGTTTCATCAGACCAGAGAATCTTGTTTCTCATGGTCTGAGAGTCCTTTTGGTGCCTTTTGGCAAATTCCAAGTGGTCTGTCATGTGCCTTTTACTGAGGAGTGGCTTCCATCTTGCCACTCTACCATAAACGGCTGCATCGCAGTAGCGGCTCCTGATTGGCTGAGTAGGTGGGGCGGGGCCGAGTGCGGGTGGACTTTTACAAATTCAACAGACATGCATTGTATTAACCAGCCTGATAATAGCTCATTTCCAATTTGATTAATTTCTCTAAACTCTGAATAGAATAGGAATAGAGTTATAGCCCTATTCAGGCTGGTTATAGGCAGACTATCACATTTGACCTATATCGTACTAGACCATGTAGCCCATCTATCCTATTGAAAAAGGACTGAAGACAGAAACAGATCATTTGGTTCCATTTCAACATATTTATTACTGAAACCAAAGTGCTGTAACATACACTGCTCAAAAAAATAAAGGGAACACTAAAATAACATCCTAGATCTGAATGAATGAAATAATCTTATTAAATACTTTTTTCTTTACATAGTTGAATGTGCTGACAACAAAATCACGCAAAAATTATCAATGGAAATCAAATTTATCAACCCATGGAGGTCTGGATTTGGAGTCACACTCAAAATTAAAGTGGAAAACCACACTACAGGCTGATCCAACTTTGATGTAATGTCCTTAAAACAAGTCAAAATGAGGCTCAGTAGTGTGTGTGGCCTCCACGTGCCTGTATGACCTCCCTACAACGCCTGGGCATGCTCCTGATGAGGTGGCGGATGGTCTCCTGAGGGATCTCCTCCCAGACCTGGACTAAAGCATCCGCCAACTCCTGGACAGTCTGTGGTGCAACGTGGCGTTGGTGGATGGAGCGAGACATGATGTCCCAGATGTGCTCAATTGGATTCAGGTCTAGGGAATGGGCGGGCCAGTCCATAGCATCAATGCCTTCCTCTTGCAGGAACTGCTGACACACTCCAGCCACATGAGGTCTAGCATTGTCTTGCATTAGGAGGAACCCAGGGCCAACCGCACCAGCATATGGTCTCACAAGGGGTCTGAGGATCTCATCTCTGTACCTAATGGCAGTCAGGCTACCTCTGGCGAGCACATGGAGGGCTGTGCGGCCCCCCAAAGAAATGCCACACCACACCATGACTGACCCACCGCCAAACCGGTCATGCTGGAGGATGTTGCAGGCAGCAGAACGTTCTCCACGGCGTCTCCAGACTCTGTCACGTCTGTCACATGTGCTCAGTGTGAACCTGCTTTCATCTGTGAAGAGCACAGGGCGCCAGTGGCGAATTTGCCAATCTTAGTGTTCTCTGGCAAATGCCAAACGTCCTGCACGGTGTTGGGCTGTAAGCACAACCCCCACCTGTGGACGTCGGGCCCTCATACCACCCTCATGGAGTCTGTTTCTGACCGTTTGAGCTGCTGGAGGTCATTTTGCAGGGCTCTGGCAGTGCTCCTCCTGCTCATCCTTGCACAAAGGTGGAGGTAGCGGTCCTGCTGCTGGGTTGTTGCCCTCCTACGGCCTCCTCCACGTCTCCTGATGTACTGGCCTGTCTCCTGGTAGCGCCTCCATGCTCTGGACACTACGCTGACAAACACAGCAAACCTTCTTGCCACAGCTCGCATTGATGTGCCATCCTGGATGAGCTGCACTACCTGAGCCACTTGTGTGGGTTGTAGACTCCGTCTCATGCTACCATTAGAGTGAAAGCACCGCCAGCATTCAAAAGTGACCAAAACATCAGCCAGGAAGCATAGGAACTGAGAAGTGGTCTGTGGTCACCACCTGCAGAACCACTCCTTTATTGGGGGTGTCTTGCTAATTGCCTATAATTTCCACCTGTTGTCTATTCCATTTGCACAAGAGCATGTGAAATGTATTGTCAATCAGTGTTGCTTCCTAAGTGGACAGTTTGATTTCACAGAAGTGTGATTGACTTGTGTTGTTTAAGTGTTCCCTTTATTTTTTTGAGCAGTGTATATAAATTAAATAAAATAGCCTAGTACACACACCAACACTTTTTAAATGTTCAAATCAAAACACTTTTGCACAGACAAATGTGGACAGCCGGGTGCATCGCAAATTCAGAACTGCTGGACAGCAACATAGTAAACTAAAGCACTGATAATTGGGAACGAGATCAGAATCACTGCTAAGGCTTCATCCATAAATTAAATAATTAAATAGGTAGCCTAGCCTACAAAACTAAAACAATCCATATGTTCAAATCAAAAGGCCTGATTAACATGACATCAAAAACGCAGCCACATCCCAAGTCCCCGTGCTGACACATTCTGAAATCAAAAGATGGTTTAGTATTTAGTTTAAAAGCTCTGACGAAGGCCAAGAGAACACACTTTTCAGTGAGAAAACAGAAACCCACTTTGGGTAAACATTTTGTTTAAAGACTTCCGTTTTCAAAGATGTAGCATACAATGCAATACTCATTATCATTTTAAGGAGAACACAATCTACTTAACCTACATTTGAACCGCAGAACCTTCGGTACCTTCCCAATTAAGTAGCCTAGTTTTTTTGTTTGGCTGCTTGAAGAGAACTAAATCACTCGCAGCCCACCTCTTCCAATGCATTGTGGAACAGTGTGCATCGAAATCTACCAGATGAACAGCCGAAATAACATTCTGGCTTTTAAACCAAATGTCGCATACTAAACATTATACACTGCTCAAAAAAATAAAAGGGAACACTTAAACAACACAATGTAACTCCAAGTCAATCACACTTCTGTGAAATCAAACTGTCCACTTAGGAAGCAACACTGATTGACAATACATTTCACATGCTGTTGTGCAAATGGAATAGACAACAGGTGGAAATTATAGGCAATTAGCAAGACACCCCCAATAAAGGAGTGGTTCTGCAGGTGGTGACCACAGACCACTTCTCAGTTCCTATGCTTCCTGGCTGATGTTTTGGTCACTTTTGAATGCTGGCGGTGCTTTCACTCTAGTGGTAGCATGAGACGGAGTCTACAACCCACACAAGTGGCTCAGGTAGTGCAGCTCATCCAGGATGGCACATCAATGCGAGCTGTGGCAAGAAGGTTTGCTGTGTCTGTCAACGTAGTGTCCAGAGCATGGAGGCGCTACCAGGAGACAGGCCAGTACATCAGGAAACGTGGAGGAGGCCGTAGGAGGGCAACAACCCAGCAGCAGGACTGCTACCTCCGCCTTTGTGCAAGGAGGAGCACTGCCAGAGCCCTGCAAAATGACCTCCAGCAGGCCACAAATGTGCATGTGTCTGCTCAAACGGTCAGAAACAGACTCCATGAGGGTGGTATGAGGGCCCGACGTCCACAGGTGGGGGTTGTGTTTACAGCCCAACACCGTGCAGGACGTTTGGCATTTGCCAGAGAACACCAAGATTGGCAAATTCGCCACTGGCGCCCTGTGCTCTTCACAGATGAAAGCAGGTTCACACTGAGCACGTGACAGACGTGACAGAGTCTGGAGACGCCGTGGAGAACGTTCTGCTGCCTGCAACATCCTCCAGCATGACCGGTTTGGCGGTGGGTCAGTCATGGTGTGGGGTGGCATTTCTTTGGGGGGCCGCACAGCCCTCCATGTGCTCTCCAGAGGTAGCCTGACTGCCATTAGGTACCGAGATGAGATCCTCAGACCCCTTGTGAGACCATATGCTGGTGCGGTTGGCCCTGGGTTCCTCCTAATGCAAGACAATGCTAGAGCTCATGTGGCTGGATTGTGTCAGCAGTTCCTGCAAGAGGAAGGCATTGATGCTATGGACTGGCCCGCCCGTTCCCCAGACCTGAATCCAATTGAGCACATCTGGGACATCATGTCTCGCTCCATCCACCAACGCCACGTTGCACCACAGACTGTCCAGGAGTTGGCGGATGCTTTAGTCCAGGTCTGGGAGGAGATCCCTCAGGAGAACATCCGCCACCTCATCAGGACCATGCCCAGGTGTTGTAGGGAGGTCATACAGGCACGTGGAGGCCACACACACTACTGAGCCTCATTTTGACTTGTTTTAAGGACATTACATCAAAGTTGGATCAGCCTGTAGTGTGGTTTTCCATTTTAATTTTGAGGGTGACTCCAAATCCAGACCTCCATGGGTTGATAAATTTGATTTCCATTGATCATTTTTGTGTGATTTTGTTGTCAGCACATTCAACTATGTAAAGAAAAAAGTATTTAATAAGATTATTTAATTCATTCAGATCTAGGATGTGTTATTTTAGTGTTCCCTTTATTTTTTTTAGCAGTGTATTTTCACCCACCGTGGTGAAGAAGGCACGATAGCAACTCTTCAACCTCAGGATGTGGCTTGTCCCAGAGGGGCCTCACAGTGTTCTACAGGAACACCATTGAGAGCATACTGTCGGGCTGCATCACAGCGTGGTACGACAACTCCACCACCGCGGACCGCAAGGCACTACAAAGGATGGTACGCTTAGCCGAACGCACCACTGGGTGCACACTGCCTGCCCTACAGGACAGCTACAACACCAGGTGTCGCAGGAAGGCCAAGAAGATCATCAGGGACCCCAGCCACCCGAGTCACGGCCTGTTCTCCCCACTTCCATCACTAAGACGCGGGCAGTACAGGAGCATCATGGCAAAAACTGGAAGACTGAGCAAGAGCTTCTACCCCCAGACCATCAGGCTGCTGAATATCCACCACTAGGCAGCTACCTGCTCCTCCTGTCCCCACTAACAAATTGATTTTTGAGTGTCATTCCCCATTTAATTACGCATCGGACCTTTTAATTGTGCATCTAGCGATGTTTCTGTACTGTTGCTGCTCATTTCATGGCAAAGTTTGCAAATAAAAAAAGAATAGATAGAAATTGTATACACTTACTCATGATATACTTCTGCCAGGTAAGCCTACTTTGCAGTTAACATTTCATTGAGAAGGTTTTGGGGAAAGTATTTCTTTCAACCCACAAGACGGTTACCTCATCAACTGGCTACACAAAGAGTGATAGACATTTACATTTTAGTCATTTAGCAGACGCTGTTATCCAGAGCGACTTACAGCTAGTGAGTGCATACATTTTCATACTGGCCCCCGGTGGGAATCGAAACCCACAACCCTGGCATTGCAAGCGCCATGCTCTACCAACTGAGCTACACGGGGCCACTACACAGACAGACAGGGGCAATATTGCTGAAAATGTATTGGCAGATATTGTGTTAGGTTTGGCTTTTTAAGCCAATAGTGGCTAACCAGGGGTGGGATCATGTAAATGTTCAGTTGATTAGATAGTAGCTGGGAGCTTGCTGTGTCTGATACTTGTGAGATTTGTTAATGACAGTTTGCGATGGAACACATGAAACATTCCATGTGCTTTCAGAATTGTTTGGTGAGCTACTCATGGGTGAGCTATGGTAGAGACCTCTGATTTAGAGTAATGCAGTAGTATATTTGTAGTAACACATGGGCGTCCACTGATCTTTTTAGTACACTCACAGGACACTTTGCAGGATGGTTGTGTCATGCTCTGAGTGTCCAGCATAGCTGACAATGACGTCCATTAGCCAGAGGTGCAGCTCAATATACCACAATGACAAACTGCACTCAACACACTGTCGACCAACTGCGGACCAACCGGAGAGTGTGTGAAGGTTATCAGCCATCTTATTTCTCCATCTTGGTCACCCTGTCTTTTCCTCCCTGCCACCATCTCTCCATCTCTCTCTCTATCCCTCCCTTCCCTATCTTGATCTGTCCCTCTTTTACTCCCTCCATCACTTTTCAGTCAGTCCATCTGTCCAGGGGAGAGAGGGTGAGGGGTTTGTGGGTTTAGGCACTGGGGGTTGTAGCAGGAAAGAGGGTGGGTGTGTGTGTGCGCATGTTACATTTAATTATCGCCAACTCATTTCTGCATGGTAGGTCTGATCCTATCCACTCCTGCCTGGCCCCACCCCTTCACTCTATCCTTCTTTATAGTCATCTGTCAGGGCAATCGCTCCCTCTCTCCGTCCGTCCACCATCCCCTCTAAGGCCCCCTCCATCCCGTCTTTAAGGACCAAACCACTCACAATCTCGCCTTCTATCTGGACTTCTTTGAGGAAATGTGAGGACACAAAAGAGAGAGAAAAGAGAATAAAGGAGAAGAGAAACGGAGAGGAGAGCATAAAGGTGGGGGAAAAGGAGGAGGAGTACCGGACGGAGCAGCACAACCAAGGCCTGACAGAATCACCCGTCTGGTCAATCAGTCCTGCAGGTACATCTGTCTGTTAACTGGTCTGTCTGTCTGTCTGTCAGTCAGTCAACTGGTCTGTCTGTCTGTCAGTCAGTCAGTCAACTGGTCTGTCTGTCTGTCAGTCAGTCAGTCAACTGGTCTGTCTGTCTGTCAGTCAGTCAGTCAACTGGTCTGTCTGTCAGTCAGTCAGTCAGTCAACTGGTCTGTCTGTCAGTCAGTCAGTCAGTCAACTGGTCTGTCTGTCAGTCAGTCAGTCAGTCAACTGGTCTGTCTGTCAGTCAGTCAGTCAGTCAACTGGTCTGTCTGTCAGTCAGTCAGTCAGTCAACTGGTCTGTCTGTCAGTCAGTCAGTCAACTGGTCTGTCTGTCAGTCAGTCAGTCAACTGGTCTGTCTGTCAGTCAGTCAACTGGTCTGTCTGTCTGTCAGTCAGTCTGTCAACCGGTCTGTCTGTCTGTCTGTTAACCTGGGTTAACTGGTCTGTTTGTCTGTCGGTCGGTCTACTGGTCTGGCTGTGTGAACACTTGCTTTGTAGACAGAGTTTCTCTCTTAGAAATAGAACCTCCTAGTTCTGTGGTTGCTCTGGGCTGGTTTGGATGAGCCAGTTTTAGCTGCTGTTTTATTCTCAGTTTGACTGACTTCCTACTTCTGAGACAGTCTAGATGTGTGAGGGTCTGAGTGTGTGACTGACTGTGTGAAACTGAAATAATGCCCATTCTTCTGTACAGTCGGGTGCTGACTCACCAAACACCAGTCCCTGGTTGACTTTATCAACAACCCAGACTAGTTGTGCGCCAAGGGAATGTAGGATAAATGATGAGCCAAGAACTGTATGACTAATGAGTGCTGAGAGACAGATGGGGGGCTTAAACCTAAACTTTAATCGCTTTAAACCACAAAGACCACCCTGACAACCTGTCAAGTGTCTGACTGATTTTAGGATTATGAGGAGGTCATGTTTACCTTAACAAACCAAACACTAAAACAGTGGGGGTCTAATTATTCAAATAACATGTCATTTTTTCTGATATCCGGATAGTCAAAATTTGGGGGAGAGGTGCCACTCTGCTTGCTTGCATCAGTGACCACAGGGGCCGGTAAGTTTGACACAGGGGCTGGTGAGTTTGACACAGGGGCCGGTGAGTTTGACACAGGAGGGAGAGAGAGAGTAGCCATACAGACTCACATTAGTAAGACAAAATGTGTAGATGCCATAGGTTATCTATCATTCCATCTGGTAGTGCCTGTCTTGACAGCATCAAATCGATGTAAAAAAGCTAGCTAAGATAGCCCGCTATGTTAGCCAGCTAGCTAGCTCGCTACCTAGGCTCAAATGATGGCTATTTTGCTGCGCTTCCCGTCCTTGTCTACAACAACTCCATTCAGATTAAACAGCCTACCTGATGGTTGCTCGTATTTGTAGCCTACTCCTCATTTAACTAACTTAATTCTGTAATTTTAATTCCATTTAGCATTGATTAAAGATCTCCCATGTTGCTGGCTACACATGGAGCCACTGACTGTAGACAGTGCCACGACAATAACAATAAACGAGTGAAACCCGTGTAGGCTACTACCGTATGTCTTTTTATGGGGCGCACGTCATAAACACTACATTCAAAAGTTTGTTGTTTTATTGAATTAAGAATGTCCAAATGTCATGTGTACAAATGTCACATAATTGTATTTAATTCAATCAAAGCCTTTTCATTGTTAAAATAGGCCTATGATCCCCAAAATGTATTATGAATGCTCTTGCAAATATTCAAATACTAATGTCCGTTCGAATATTTGAATCTTCGAATAACCGTGACCATCTCTAGGTGTGTGTCTGTATGTGTGTTTGCATGTTTTAATGTGTGCGTGTGTGAATGTGTGTGTGTAGTATGTTCAGTAGGGTAACTGAGGGCCTCGGGTGCAAAGGATACATTTTCCCCCCCATGGAACAGCGGAGGGATCAAATTTCCCTCCAGAATATCTGGCGGTGACTCTAGGAAAAGATCTCTATTAATACAACATTCTAATGCTAGAACACACTATGCTAATGCTAGCACAAAACCCCCTCAGAGCAGCTGGACTGCTAAAGCTAATCAGATTTAAAGCCACTAGCGAGGATGCTATCAATGATCAAATTACATTTACGTCATTTAGGAGACGCTCTTATCCAGAGCGATTTTTTAAAATATTTTTTTTTTTTTGGGGGGTGGGGGGGGGGGGGGGGGGGGGGGGGGGGGGATTAGGGGGGGATTAGAATAATTACTTTATCCTATCCCAGGTGTTCCTTAAAGAGGTGGAATACATGCAGTACACACTATAGCTACACAACTACTGTAGCCTAGTATGTAAATATGCTGATAAAGATCAAAATATAGCCTAGGTGTACATAACAGCTCACAAAAAGACCAACATTGAGAAACAAGCTAGGGGAAACACTGCTAGGCTATGTGTACAGTTGAAGTCGGAAGTTTACATACACCTTAGCCAAATACATTTAAACTCAGTTTTTCACAATTCCTGACATTTAATCCTAATAAAAATTCCCTGTCTTAGGTCAGTTAGGATCACCACTTTATTTTAAGGATGTGAAATGTCAGAATAATAGTAGAGGGAATGATTTATTTCAGCTTTTATTTCTTTCATCACATTCCCAGTGGGTCAGAAGTTGACATACACTCAATTAGTATTTGGTAGCATTGCTTTTAAATTGTTTAACTTGGGTCAAACGTTTCGGGTAGCCTTCCACAAGCTTCCCACAATAAATTGGGTGAATTTTGGCCCATTCCTCCTTACAGAGCTGGTGTAACTGAGTCAGGTTTGTAGGCCTCCTTGCTCGCACATGCCTATTCAGTTCTTCCCTCAAATTTTCTATAGGATTGAGGTCAGGGCTTTGTGATGGCCACTCCAATACCTTGACTTTGTTGTCCTTAAGCCATTTTGCCACAACTTTGGAAGTATGCTTGGGGTCATTGTCCATTTGGAAGACCCATTTGCGACCAAGCTTTAACTTCCTGACTGATGTCTTGAGATGTTGCTTCAATATATCCACATAATTTTCCTTCCTCATTATGCCATCTATTTTGTGAAGTGCACCAGTCCCTCCTGCAGCAAAGCACCCCCACAGCATGATGCTGCCACCCCCGTGCTTCACAGTTGGGATGGTGTTCTGCGGCTTGCAAGCAGCCTCCTTTTTCCTCCAAACATAACGATGGTCCTTATGGCCAAACAGTTCTATTTTTGTTTCATCAGACCAGAGGACATTTCTCCAAAAAGTACGATCTTTGTCCCCATGTGCAGTTGCAAACCGTAGTCTGGCTTTTTTATGGCGGTTTTGGAGCAGTGGCTTCTTCCTTGCTGAGCGGCCTTTTTCAGGTTACGTCGATATAGGACTAGTTTTACTGTGGATATAGATACTTTTGTACCTGTTTCCTCCAGCATCTTCACAAGGTCCTTTGCTGTTGTTCTGGGATTGATTTGCACTTTTCGCTCCAAAGTACGTTCATCTCTAGGAGACAGAACGCATCTCCTTCCTGAGTGGTATGACGGCTGCGTGGTCCCATGGTGTTTATACTTGCGTACTATTGTTTGTACAGATGAACGTGGTACCTTCAGGCGTTTGGAAATTGCTCCCAAGGATGAACCAGACTTGTGGAGTTCTTGGCTGATTTCTTTTCATTTTCCCATGATGTCAAGCAAAGAGGCACTGAGTTTGAAGGTAGGCCTTGAAATACATCCACAGGTACACCTCCAATTGAGTCGAATGATGTCAATTTGCCTATCAGAAGCTTCTAAAGCTATGACATCATTTTCTGGAATTTTCCAAGCTGTTTAAAGGCACAGTCAACTTACTGACCCACTGGAATTGTGATACAGTGAATTATAAGTGAAATAATCTGTCTGTAAACAATTGTTGGAAAAATTACTTGTGTCATGCACGAAGTAGATGTCCTAACCGACTTGCCAAAACTATAGTTTGTTAACAAGAAATTTGTGCAGTGGTTGAAAAACAAGTTTTAATGACCAACCTAAGTGTATGTAAACTTCCGACTTCAACTGTATGTATGCCTGTGTTCTCGCCAAAAGTACTGATGGGCATTGGGCACATTAAATCTCTCATTTACACAGAGTGACGTGTGAACAGTAAAAATACCCCCAATGATGCATCACACAGAGGTCGCTCCTAAAAGTCACTGCCATTTTGGGACCAACGACTTTCACACATCTGGGCCCGTCCCGCTACACACACACACACCGCACGGACGCGCACACACTTCTAGGCCAGTCCTACCAAACACACACAGGTCGGTCCAGGCTGGAAAGGTGAAAAGGTCAGAGGGGGGTGATAATTGGCTGACACATTCCCATCCCTCTCCGTCATGTCATGTTGCTTATTGGGACACAGGGGGGCTTAGAGCCCTAAAGAACCTCATAACACAGGATTAGAGGGTCTATTTTACACCCAGGACCACATTCTGACCCCAACAACGAGAGAGAGAGAGAGAGAGAGAGAGAGATGAGAGAGAGAGAGAGAGGAGGGAGGATGAGAGAG